TTATATGCCAAAATTCCATGTACTAGAATTTCTTGCGTTGATCACAGTGAGGAAGTCCCTCCGCAAAAGAATAACTTCGAACGAGAGATCTCAATGAAAAAACCAAAATAAACACATTGTAAATGATTGACTATTATTAATAGTTTAATTATAATCAATTTCATCAATTCCATAGAACTCGTGTTGCATAATATTAAAAATCGATTAAAGATTTTCACGAACGAAATATATAATTCCAAAGAAAACAGCATTAAGTACATCATATGGTAAATTATTTGGATAATAGAGAGGATTTTGGATGTCAAGAATGGGTTGTATCTACTAATCATCATGATTCTATCACGATATCGACGTCTGAAGATTCGCCGAATCCTACTCTAAAAGGGACACACTTGATACAATCGATTATCTCGAAAATCTCGAAATCATGAATCCTATTCTAAAAGAAACACACTTGATACAATCGATTATCTCGAAAATCTCGAAATCATGAATCCTATTCTAAAAGAAACACGCTTGACACAATCGATTATCTCGAAAATCTCGAACTCATAAAGCCATGATTCCTTATTGGTCCACCAAAAGTGGCGCGAGATTACAAAGTTGTAACTCTCTTCCAGAAGTCTCTCATTATCGTTTAAACAGCAAAGAGAAATTGTTCTCACGTGGAAAAATCGGTGGCAGAGATGGAATGGAATAAAAAGCTCGAGCCTGAAGAAAGGAAATGATAGCAAGAGTGAAATGGAAGACAGAAGAAGAAGCAACGAGATACGATTGAGCAAAAAACAACATGGGCGATCCTTTCTTGGCCGTCTACAGTTTGAAAAACGATCGAAGGCGATCGATCGATCTCTGGTATTACGCAGACGTGCACCAAACTCCAAGTCGAGAAAGCGTACGTGATGAGGGGTCCACCATTCTTTTGACCGTCGGGTTGATGTTTGTGTGATGTTAACCCAATGGGTTGATATAAAGCATTTCTCGCTGGGGCTAAGAATTGGTGGCGAATATCGAGCGATACATGATGACTTTCAGAACGAGAAAATTGCATCTGATCTTTGGTTGAGGCGCTTCGTAAGATCATTTCGCACCGGCCTCTCCTGTTTGGATTGTTTCGCATATTCATCTTCTTTTTGGGGGTCCAGATGAGTGGATCGTTCAACAGCCGATTCAACCATTCCACCATTATTCCATCTCCATGACTGTCCGATCCTTTATTTGATTAGCTCTCCTCAAGATTTTTACCTGAATCACCGTTATTCTCATCAACTTGTCATTCAGGTCAACTCAAGATAACGAAATCTCAAGGTATTTTTTTATTGAAATATTAAATATTCCGTTGTTTCTTGAATTATCTTGGCAATCAATTCAATTTTGCATTTGTCATGGAAATCGCAGTGGAATTATAATCGAAAGGAACTGACGATCATTTTTTAACCGAATTATACTCAATGTTTATTTATTATTTATTAGATCATTTTTATATTATTACCGAATAAGTTTATCGATACTATATACCAATATTTTATTTAATTAGTCCTCACTCATATTTTTAGATGAATCTCGGAAATTTCCATTAACTCGTCATTCAAATCAACGGAAAAAAATTATATCTCAAGGTATTTTGTTATTGAAATATTAAATATTCCGTTGTTTCTTGAATTATCCGGGGAATGAATTCAATTTTGCATTCGTCATGGAAATCGCAGTGGAATTATAATCAATCGAAAGGAACTGACGATCATTTTTTAACCGAATTATACTCAATGTTTATTTATTATTTATTAGATCATTTTTATATTATTAACGAATAAGTGTATCAATACTATATACTATTTTATTTAATTAGCCCTCATTAATATTTTTAGATGAATCTCGGAAATTTCCATTAACTCGTCATTCAAATCAACGGGAAAAAATTATATCTCAAGGTATTTTGTTATTGAAATATTAAACATTCCGTTGTTTCTTGAATTATCCGGGGAATCAATTCAATTTTGTATGTGTCATGGAAATCGCTGTGGAATTATAATCAATCGAAAGGAATTGACGATAATTTTAACCGAATTATACTCAATGTTTATTTATTATATATTTATTTTATTAGATAATTTTTATATTACTGACGAATAAGTTCATCGATACTCTATATCAATATTTTATTTAATTAGCCCTCGTTTATATTTTTAGATGAATCTCGGAAATTTTTATCAACTCGTCACTCAAATCAATGGAAAAAAAATTATATCTCAAGGTTTTTTGTTATTGAAAATTCAAATCATTTCGAAATTCAATTGAATTTAGGATTTACCAAGGAAATGAATACGAATTAATTATGAACGAGCAATTAATATTATTATTATTATATTATTATTATTTATTTATTATTTATATTTATTATTTATTATTTAATATTATTATATTATTATTATTTATATTAATTATGAACGAGCAATAAATTCAAGGCAATTGTCGCTCAAATCGGAGTCCATGTTCACTTATTATTTATTATACTATTTTCGTATTATCAGTTTAGTTCCCAATGGTTCAAGTACTGAATGACTAATAGTTATCGATCAGTTAGAAGTCTGTATTTCCTATGTCTCAGTATTTTTTCTTTTTAATTTTTCACGAGTGGAGGATCAGAGCATCTCCAGTTGCTTTGAGAGTCTGGATGACCAATCGATCGTTTTTAATCACACAATTTTAATTCGAGACCCTTTCAGTGGTCACGAACCGTTCAAGCATTCACCTTTGACGCTGCACTGTGGTTTTCGCTTGTGCCTTTTCCCAACAAAGTCGATGTACACCGAGGAAAGCTACCCCAAAGTGCTTCAAGCTCCTCCAAGATCACTTGAATAACTACTGGAGAAAAGTGGAGGTGAGGCAGAGAGAGAGGGTATTTAGCTTTTTTTTTTATTCTCTCCCTGGGGTCCTGGGGATTGGCCACTGTTGTAATTACCTCGTTTACCCCGTAGGCTCTTTTCCATTCTGCGCGGTATAACAAGTGAAAAAAATCAAATAAAAAAAGAAAATAGGGGACGCGACCGCGCACTCTTTGCCTTGTTGTCATTTAGCTTTTTGCTCTTTCGGCAACAAGTGGTCATTCTTCTGGGGTACTAGACGCTGATTGAGTTCTTTGATCATTTCCAAGTTTTTCTTTATATTCCGGTGGAGGTTATTGGAAAATTACTGAGCAAAGTAATTTCTCAATTGTTCTTCGACACAAAAATTATTCCTTATGCATTTCCTCGTAGCTCATTAATTTTTAATATTTCAATTTTATTATTGAAAAATAATAAATAGTTGAGGTTAGATAAGTTAAATGGCTTTATTCATTGTTGAAAAACGTGACGCAGTGATGAATGATTTCAAGTGATTTTAAATTTTCTATTTCAATTGATTTCCAATTTTCGATTTCAATTGATTTCAAATTTTCAATTTCAATTGATTTCAAATTTTCGATTTAGTTTCCGTAATATTAACCCGGCAAGTGAGCGAAAGAGGAACGAATGGTGAAATGTACACGCTCAATTGCGACTTGGAAGATTGTCGGAAAATTTCGCTTTGTTTAAACAATCTTGGAATGCGACAGTCGCATTTATTTTTTTTTTAACTGAAAAAAGCGTTCGCTGAGAACGGGCCTGTGTTATTGAACGAAATTCGGAATATCACAAGTGACTTCACGGATTTCACGTGATTTATTATGATTTCACATGATTTCAGGACTAATCTCACGTGATTTCAATCCACCTTGGACAATGATTTCACCCATTAATAACCGAAATTCAATAGAATTTATGATATCTACATAGTAGACAGGAAATTTGTATAGCGTTCCACATTTTTGTGATGTCAATCGACTCGTTGGATAGGATTTGGATTAGATAAGAAGGGGGACAGGATAATTATCGATATAATTTTTACAAGAAAAATTACTGAAAAAATGGATAGTCCAGATCCCTCGGTACAAAATCCGTTGATTGTCATATTTGATTTTAAAAAATTCGATAAAAAAGTCAGTAAAAAGAGTAAAAAAGGGGTAAAAAAATCATAATTTATCCTTTACGTACACATTTGGGGATGAAGTGATTGGATAGGTGAAAGAAAAATTTGATGATTTTTACCGACTGGTTGACGAGAGACGAACAGATTCATCGGAATGACGGAGAGATGAAGTGTATGAGGGGCTTTTGTATTGGTGGATGTGGCTGGATGCTGGATGTATAAACCGGAGAGTTGGGGAGAGATGGAACAGCAGGTTGAATGTCGTTATTACAGTGAATTAGAGGGTGCAGAGCCGGAACGAGGTATGAAACTATTACCTCGCGAAACGGCGGACGTCTACTGTCTCGCTTCTTCGTATCCCCCTCTGTCTCATTTCAGACGGTTTTTTTTTCACCCTCTAGGATATATTCCGAGGATTCACACTTTTTATTGATATGGTTTTTATCCCTCATGAATCCACAGGTTCTAATGTCATTTCTGAATTGTATTGATTGCTTTATTCCCCGGAAAATGAGTTTGAGATATAGTCTCATATTGAGAATTTATCTGATTCTGAGATCAGATGGTTTTTCATCACTTGTAATATCAGCAGAGCTTCGGAATCATCTTAATTATTTTATTATGAACGAATTGAGGAATCGAGTTTCTCAGTTGTATTTATATAATACCGAATTATTGACAAAAAAACACATTTTTTCTTTCGAAATGATGATACTAGGAGGAAACTATTCTAAGGCAATTTGTTCGAGGGGAAAATTTCACAGAGAATTATTTTCCAGAATATTTTGACAAAGTATTTAAAATAAGAAACCATTTCATCGGAGTTAATAGTAATTAATTAGTAAATAGTAAGTTAATTAACTAGTAATTAGTAAATAGTAAATAGTAATTCATATATAAATTTCGATCTTGAAGTTATCAGAATACATGCACTTCCAAAAATTATGGAAAAATCATGGAATTAATTAAATTAATTAATTAGTAAAACTCACCGTTCTGAGGACTATGTTTGAAGCAATCCTGATGGCTCGTCCCGGTATTTCCAAGATGGCTAGCAGAATTCGGAGAGCTGCTGGGATTTCCATTATTAGGATTTCCCGTGCAGCTTCCGTTGTTATTATTCGCACTATTGGCTGTTTGGCCATGCAAATGACTGGTCTGATGATGTTTGCTTCTCCTGTAAGACTGAAGTTCTCGGAGTTGTGAGGTAAATGAAGACGTTGCATCCAGGTATGGCCTCTGTCCCAGGCCAAGCGCCCGGAATTGCTGATGCTGTTGTCCTGCAATTAAACCGTAATCTGCTCTGTATATTTTTAGGTCTAGGACTGCCTCGTCGATTCATATTCAATTACCCAGGCACGGGGGGTGAACCCTGAGTGGACGCATGTTTGGGTAATTGAGGATGATAGTATGATAATTAAGAGTCTCAATTGGCACGCGTGTGTAGTGGAGTTCAAACGCATTCCACGCGTGCCGTTCAGCCTGTTTCAATCGGGATGTGCAATTTTGGTGATCCAAGTTGTGATGTCATTGAAATATTGCTCATTTTTCAAATCGGCCCATCTATTATTTATTTATACTGAGAAAAACTCGAGAAACTTCTACTGTACATATTGTTGTACTTGATCCTCTGCTTTCAGTGATCCATTCAGAATATTTTTTCAGCCTGCAAAAAGCTCAGAATAATTTCAGGAGCAGATTTTTTACTGATATTGAATCAAAAAGCCAAATTCTCAAATTCAATTGCATGTCAGATTTTTTTATTTATTTTCAAATGACAATATTAACGGAATTTTTAGAGCTTTCGAGGGGAATTTAAATAGAAATATTCATTGGAGTTTCAACGTTTTAAAAATTCTCCCGTACCTTATGGACCTAAAAACGAGGATTACTTGAACATTCACGAGTTTAATTGATTCATCAATTCACAATTGCCCATAAATTGATGTTTTTTTCTTGAAATTCTAACAGCAATTGCTCTATAATTTCATGATGTAAGAATTGATTTCTATCACGAACCTTTCGATAATTATCATGCACTGAGAGAAATATTCAATAAAAATTACGTGTATTTTCCGTAATTCTGGAGCGAAATGTGGTTGTCGGAAATTTTACGGAACTGTCACATAATTTTTATCTAAAATCACGGAATTTTTCCGTGGTGTTCCGTAATTTTTATCTGAATTATGGGTGAAAAAAACCGTCACATAAATTTTTCGAATCAACTCCGTAATCGGTAATTGAACTGAAAGTTCCGTAATTTTTACTAAATATTTCTCTCCACGTGGAAAACATAATTTCGCGTACAAGCTCCCCCATTTCATCCAAAGAAGAATTATTTAAATAGTCGAGTGTGAATTTGACACGAATGTTTGTTGGAGTTCTCCGGAGTATTCTTATCTAATCAAAGTGCCTGGGCAGTGGAGGACGGAAATAGCGCGGCTTTCCTCTACTAATAATCCCCCACCATTTTCTTACGTCCTCCTTGAATTAACAGGGTGGTAATAGCAATTTCAAGGTTGACAAAAAAAAAACAAGTCAATTGTCTGAGGACTAACGGTAGTGCTAAACACCTCAAAGAAAGCTTCCATTATCGATGAAAAAAAAAATTCTCCTTCCGGTCTTATGTCACCTGAGCTGGATGAATAATTTCGCCCTTCCGCTCTTCCTCAATTGTAAAAATTTCCATAAAAGAGGCACCGATTTCAGAAAGAGGAGAGGACCGGATAAAATGGAAGAAAGTCGCCATTTGAGTGGCAGTATTATTACAAGGAAGTAATGAGTGGTGGCAGGTGTATTGTGGGGTGGATTTTACGTGGTATTGTTTGGTAGACAATGAGCCAGCGGTTGTTGCTTGTATTAGGAGCCCTCTCGTGTGAGAGGCACCCAATTCTCTCCCTAAATTCACTCAAAAATAACAACACCATTGTCCAACGATGCCGTGACGATCAAACGACACATGGATTTTGTGCTCATAGAACCACGCGTCAATCTTGAGGTGCACGGCAGCCCCATATGTACATAAATACATTATCTGTCTGTTTGCAATATGTTTTTGATTAGTTCGTATCCTACAATTCGTCAGATAGATCTGCCCTTGATATTCCAATCCAGTTGCATACTGAGAAAAAGAATTACTTTTGCCAGTAATATTTTCTTCCCATCAGTAAATCTGGCAGTCATTGTGTAAATACCCCGATACGACTTACTAGTACCAAATATATTTTCTTGTGGTTAGTAAATATTATTGTCTAAAGAATATTTTCTGTCTCATTGCATCTGGAATGACATTTTTTCACAATTTAATTGTTGTTTTCGTTTTAAAAGACCAAATATTCCACTACATTCATTATTCATAATTAATTTGTTATATGATCAGCTATATTTCCCTTAAAATAAAAATTCTGAATTAATAATTATTTATCGATATAATCGATTGAGTCGACTGCACGTGAATTTGTAATTGAAATTAATTCCTTCTAATTTCAATCTTTTATTTTTTGTAGAAAAATTTGAAATAATTTTTTTTCCCAATTCAATTGTTGTTTTAATTTTCAGGGATGAATCATTTCGCAATATCAAAATATGTTAATCAATATTTCCATTGTAATTAGAAAGTCAAATCTAGATTTTTAATCGTTACAAGATTTATAGATACGATCCAATGAGGGAACGAATATAAAGTGTGAAATTTTGTAAACCCTTTCGATTGTCATGAAATAAAATTGAGTACTAAAATTCATTTTCGAGAAATTACCTTTGATCTACAGGACATACAGTAATTTTTGTTCGTACGTTGTTTAGAGCTAACAGAGAGGTATGGGCACGATAAAAATAAAAATAATAATTCTGTCAAATTTGTTGAATTTTTTTTAGAATTATCAAAAATGAAAAATTCTTTCAGAGATGAAATATCTGAAAAATGGTGAAAATAAATTTGCAAAAACTATTGTAGCACCAATGAAAGCGCATTGGGAGTATTGGACGGTAAATTTAGCCACGAAATGAGGGTAAAATGAGATTGAAAGGACATCCTGCACTTTGAAAAGGCGGGGGTAGTGAATCAACCATTCTGTTACAATGCGCATTATAAAAGGGCCTATTCGTTGGAATAGTCCATGGCAAATGGCATGAAACACTGATTCAAACTCCCCAACGTACCTCATATATGCATAGTAGATTTTAGGTACTAATTTAACGTGTGCATAAAGGCGACATAGTGCAACTACATCCGATGGAAAATCGAAAGAGGAGGTAGGGGGCAGTTGGATGATGCACACTGGGGTAAAGGTTTGTGTAATACAGGAGAGAGAGTGATACATGCGTGAAACACAAACTAGAACGAAAACAAGCACACGTGCCCCTGAATTTTGCCATCGAGAGTTTTACCCACTGCATCATCGTGCACCATCTGCTCGGTAATGACGTGGTCATTACCGCATACTGACTTCACCCTGAATTATATCGGTTTTACTTCACTTCTCCAGACTAACTGCTCTCTATCCCAAAAAACCAATATCAATATTCAAATAACGAGTTAATTATCATCAATAGTTCTACATCAAAAAATATTTACAAATAAAAATATATGAATCAATTACCGAATTATGGAGAAACCTCTAATTTTCTAGAGATGAGAGAATTTCGATTATTTCGAGGCAGATGTATTTATGATAAAATTCATATTAATTAGAAGGTCGTAATTAATGTCAATTCGTTGTAATTGATCTGTGAAGTGCAGCTGCACGAACAAATGCCGGAAATTCAGTATAAATTACATTTTCGATGGACTTGAGGCATTTAGTCTCGATGACAAAATGAAATTATGGTAAAACCATTTAGCAATCCCGTTTTCAAATTCCAATCGCATTATTTGCACCATAATTATTCTTCCCGCATGAATCATGAATCAATGTTCATAATTCAAATAAATTGAAATACGATAGGTCTGAATTCGTCTCATCGACGGGAATAATTTTTGTAGGGGTGAAACCATTGGTTGTCATTTTAAAAAAAAAGGCGACATAACTCCTAGCATCAGAACATAAACATTTATGTTCGAAAAAAATTTAGTAGTTTCAAATGGGACACCCTGTATAATTAACTATTAATTATTTGCAATTATCTCCAGTTATCTTCAGTTATCTTCTATTACAAATTCCAAAAAGTATTGATTGAGTATCGAAAATCAATCCTTTCTGATTATTTATTGATTTTAATCAATTGTGTTGTTTATGTGATCTGAATAAATTCGTTCTAGTATCATTTTTTCGTGTTTTGCAGGGTAATCTCAAGAATTGATGATCGAGACTATTCTTACTCACTTGTTTTGGATCTAGGTTCCCTGGGACCATCGACTGTCACCTTGATCGCCCGAGTGTACGTCGCCACTTGCGGCGGTGATGTCGACACCGTAATAGTGATGCTAAAACTTTTCCCTGAAAAAAAAAAAGAGAACAAACAAAACTATTAATAACGCAATGAGGCCCATCCCATTATTTCGAAAAGTGTAAACGATATTACCCTCTTCCCCGGGACATTTAACATTCCAAGTCGAACTGGCGAAAAAGTAAAAAGAAGGTATGGAAAATGTCTGAAAAACAATTCAGGTGTCGCCAGCACCATTCACTCGTTGGTTCACCGCAAAAGGCGGTAATTGCCTGGGGCCTAATGGGTCATCAATCACCAGTGGGAAATCATTTTTTTAAAAGATTCTTTCTTTTACACTATAAAAATTCATTTTGTTCCAGGTTATACGGCCCCAGTGGTGACATTAATGTTAAGCAGTAGTAGAACTACCGAAAGTTTTATTAGATTCTCCCTGATCTAGGTTATGGTGACTCTGTAGTTTAACGATTGGAATGAAGTGGAATTGGAAGACAAAGAGTTTAGGGGAGCAGAGGGTGGAGCTGTAACCCGATGCATATATCATTGGAAGGTCTTGGAGGTTGAAGGTCCGGTATATTAATTCCCTCTTCATAAATGTCCGACGGAAAGATTGACTACGCGCTCTTAAAGAGCGCCCGTCGCTTGGCTAATATGCATTTGGTAATTCGCCGCTCCCAGATTTTTTTTTTATTTCACCAGAGGTGGAACAGTGAATCCTTTGTGAGATGGGGCTTCTCTTAACGGCCTCGTAATATGTACAACACTGCTCTAGGTCTCTCAAGTTGTAATACTTTCGAATATTTGCAGCCGTCCACTGTAAATCATATTTTCTGCAACAGATTTCAGGCACCTTATTCACAAAACACCAATCAATTCTCAGGATACCGAAGACAGCCCAGCCGAATCGAATTTCTAAATCTTTCTGCACTGAAATATTTGGTCAAACCGTGACTTTTTACAGTTCAACGCACATCAAAAACCTTCATAATCAAATAATACCGTGACTCATCATTTATTTTCAAAATCAAAGATTAGAGATAAAGGCGTATTAGAAAGGAGATGTTATTTTGCACAGATCAAGGGGAGTTTTGCTTCCGAATTAAAACTTTGGAATCATTAATGATTTTTTTGATTTTCTAATTTTGCTTGGTAATTATGTAGAATTTTATGAAATGGGAAAAATGTGTATAGATTTTTTTGCTTTAAAAAAATGCAAAAAAAGACGTAAAGTTCAAGGTAAAGATCCGAAATTTTGTGGAATACTGGGCCTTATTTGAGAGTATATCTGGGCGGAATTTGAAACCGATCGGTCGAGTATTTTTCATAATATAGTAGTTTCTAAAAAATTTCAGACGCTTGCTATTTGTTTTGGAAAATCAACTGAAAGATTCGAGAAATTGATAATTTGTGGTGCTATTCCAGAAGCTCCCTCGGTTGGACATCCAAAATGGATGAACCTCCATAAAAATATCGTAGTACGAACTATAATTACTATTTTATTCCTCCAAAAAGAGCCCAGGGAAAACGAAGCGTTCGGGTTTCAACTATTGTACAGAGCTCAGCGATTTGTCTGTTATTCTTCTCTGTACTTCTCTGGAGAAAGTAGGTGAAATCCTCGAAGATTTTATGAAATTTTGGGGGCGAAGGACTGCGTTGTATTTCGTTATCGGGTGACCAGGGCGTAAATGTCAACGATTTATAATTGTCTACCCCCATCTCCAAAATACCGTGTTGGCTACATCCGCGAAACTCACCCCGCTGTGTCTGTCAACATGATAACTGGCATCAAACACCCCCTGTCACCCTTCCACTGCTTCCTTGCCCTAGGGACAACTGCAAATGACTGCACGCCAAATATCGTGTGTTTGTTGCACATGGGATATTCCATCCCAATACAATCACTCCAAAGTCATTTCACCTTGGTAAAACAAATCACTGTGGACTTTGAAAAAATTGAAAAATTGATGTCATCGGTTTGAAATAACCACAGGATCAACGAGTATCATGATTTCGATGATTCGTAGCATTTAGTCACGATTATTCTAACCTCAAATGGCGGCGGTGGCCAAAAGAGGTTAGAAAAGAGGTTGAAAAATAAAATGAAAATTGAACAAAAAAGAGAAAGAAGAAAAATGCCGTAATGCTGGTGACGTAGAACAGAAACAGAGAGATCTAGTCGTTGGGGTCCATCACATTTGGGGGCTAATAATGCCTGGCCGTTCCGGCTATCCCCGTGCCCGGGACCTGCGGTTAATACTCGATGATGGGAACGGTCATCTGCAGAGACAGGGAACCAAACCCGTGGCTCGTGCACACTATCATCCTGTACTGTGATGCAGGTATACGTTCTCGACGTAAATGGAGTGAGTGAGGAAGAGAATGGGCTGGAAAGAGACGTGACGATGAGGTATAGGGGATGAGGGATGAGAATGAACGGGAGGTGGACAGTAGCTGGACAGATAAAACCGGGCCACGCGTATGTGCCACCTATAACATTCCGCCCTGTTCAACTATCCCTATCCCGTTCGTGTCTACCAACTTCTGGAGAGGGTGAGCATTCGATTGCTTCATCACGCTTTCCCGTATTGCATCATTTATCATTGTTGAGGGAGTGGATGACGCTAAATTGGCGAAATATTGGAGACTGAATGTACGTATTATCGCTATTTCAACCCTTGCTCTTGTCCTTGCTCTGGTCTTTGCCCTTTTTCAGGGCCCATGAAGAAGAGATTCGAATCCGGAACCTCTAGCATAGGAATTGTGCCGTGAACTAATGAAGCTGCAGGTAATTAGGAGAGATAAGGGGAAAAAATGCAGCCAATGTTATGGATTTTTTTTTGTATACTGATGAATCCATTGAGAGATGATGTGAAAAATTTCAGATAGCCTAGGAGCAGGGAACAGTATTAAAAATTATAAACATACTACTTATGCATGAGGTTCATAAATTCAGTATTTTTTCAACCTTGCCGACTGGTTGGTAAGGTAGAAAAAATGTGACACTTATCAGTCTCCCATTTAACCTTATGGATGAACAGAAACTTTGAAATTTTTTTCTGCTGTTACCCTGCTCTCAGGCTATGTGAAATTTTGCACATCGTTGATTAATAAATTTATCAATATATCAAAAAATTTTAATGATATTGGCTGCATTTTTTTACCTCTACCCCGCCCGATGACTTGTAAATGCGAATTGAGAGGAAAATAAGAGACATACAGAAATTTTCATGAATAGCTTTTTTGTAGCGCAATACGTGGAGCAAAGAAAAGATTTATGTAAAAATTTCGATATCTCTGCTTATTTGGGAGATAATTGACCGCTAATTGGGGTGAGTGAAATGCACTTCTTTGAGTTTATCATTTAACGCGTTTTTGGCGTAGGAAGAATAATAGCGAGAGGAAATGAGCATTAGAGGACCGGAATATTGTAACAGAGCAAATGTTGGAATAGCTAGACCACTCGGGATGTTCAGGATGTGTCCGTGAAATTGTCAAATAATTACTGGTGGATGGTAATTTCCAGAATATCCCCGGTATTGATAATTGTATGGTTAATATTAGAGGAATTATGGGGGTTCTATGCGATTGGGGGTGAATCGATTTGGTATGAATTCTTGCCATTAGGTGATAGACTTCGGCTTTTCAATTGTCCTAATGCTAATCTTCAGAACGAGTCGATGAAAGAGATTGAAGCCAAATGAATCTTTCACTGATACAAGCGCGAGCGATGATGCACCTTTTAGCTTTGATTGGATCAGCCAGCGGATTTTGGATTTTCCACCGATATAACCCAGAATATGTTGTGTGCATCACCATTGTCCGAGGATGACACAGGACCAATCAAATTAATAAACTGTCGAAACATACACCGCGAACTGGGGTAAACGCGAATTGAAATAGCTCACTGTATCGCAAAACTCCCTCGGTGGTGGTATTACGTTGTTTATCCGCAGGCGATTCAGCCAATCGTCGGAATTGAGGATTACCTATTAACAGCGGGCATTTTTGGAGGGATGAAAAAATTTTGTGGGGCCAGAATAAAGGCGAAAATTGCTGAAGATGTGAAATCAAATTCATCACCATTTGTTTCAAACATGATCATGTCAACATGCAATCGGATATTAATGGAAGAAATTGTGAAAAATTTATCAATGATACCGCCATTTTCAGGTGCGTTAGGTTAAATTTAAATGGGGAGAGAAATAATCAAATTTTAAGGCTCACTGAAGATAATGTGAGATGACATTAAAAACGTTGGGATTTTTTTTTCGAAAATTTAACAGTAGGTTATGTAAAATAATTTTTTTAGTGAAGATATAGTATTCTATTTTGCCTCAACTTGCCGGGATAATTTCCGAAAAATCGTTATTGTATGATAATTTTACGGAGGTTTCTTAACGTCGGAATTAAAACTGCTAATTGCATCAAATAATCACCAGAAAGTTCACCTTTTACATCAATTATCCCCTGCAAATTTATGCAAATTTATGCAAATCATAAAAATTCAGATGAATAAGTTTGCACATTTTATTGTTGATTTATGATAATATAGACCATTTGTTACGTCGTATTTAATATTGACATTAAAAAAAAAATCGAGTCATCGAATATGCAAATGGATTTTAATAGAATTTTCCTGGAATTCTAAACCATTATTATGCAAATGTAAATGGAAATACATATAATTTGTATTTATATCTATCTCCATGAGGGGACAACAAGAATTTTCATGAATCGACGGAAAAGTGGAATGCAAAAACTTTGATGATCTTTGACGCCATGAAATGAACCGAATGTTACATCCTCGAATAGTCGTCGATATCACATATGTACAATGGGGGGCTCAAAATGACGAAACCACCTGAAAGATAGATGATGCTATTCGCGGGTGCCTATCGCATCGTTTTGGAACGCACGACCAGTCCATCTATAACCCATCGTTTCGAAACTGCAGGCCTGAAACACATTGTCTCGCTCTGTTCCCTCGCTATTCTCATCCTTTTTCCATTCATCTCACTTCAGCCCTTCACCCAGTGCATTCGAATTCAGGACAGCTTGTTTCCAAGATTGATAACTGGCCACATCGGATTGTGGCCTGCGCACGCTTCCTCCCCTGGGATTCCCCGGATCATAAACATTTTTCTGTTACG